ATGAATAATAAAAAAAAGGAAATAATTGAAAATAAAGAATAGATCTCTTAAAGTGCAAGGGCTGAAATAACTTATTGTGATTACTTAACTTACAAAATCAAACACGCTGGAAGGTATGTTTGGATTACATTAGTTTAAAGTAGGCCAGGCACTGACACTGTATTCTCCTCATGCTAGCACTTTTCATTTAAAATAGTAAATATTTTACAATATCCTGGGTTCATGCAATAGAAAGCCTACCAGAAACCTTAAAGTTCTGTATATAAACTTACTTGTAATATGAAACATTTGCTTTCCCCCAATTAAGTCAAAGATATAATAGTCAAATTATACTAAGCTAATGATCTGTATATTTTCATATGAATGACTCTTAGTATATATCAATAGAAAATAAATGGTAGTCTTCTCTATCTATATCAGGAAAACATTTAAAATCTTTCTGGACTTGCATACTCATTACTGTAAGAACTGAGCACATGTTGAAGAATTCACAATCAGTTGTCAGAAAAACAGCAGTTAGTGCTACAATCTTATTAGCGTCTAGCTAAGAGTTTTAGATTACATAATGTAGAAGACACTAGAAAACTAATTTATGACAGTTGACTACACATAAAATTTATCATTACTATAAAAGGATTTTAAGCCAAGAGTCATTATTGGGAAGAGCAATGTAATGAAGAACTCAAACGGAACTTAAAAAAAAAAAAAAAAAAGACTATCTGGAAAACTCACTGCCACAATTTGGGCCACTCTCCTATGTAGGTACCTGGTCTGGCCAATGCACATTCCTATCAGACAGAAAAGCTATCAGATCAGGATGAATTTAAGACACCTATGTCTTCTGAAAGCAGTTTCATACTGTGCAAACTACAGCAATACAAAGTCTGGAGGCAAATGGAAAACCAAAAGACTATGTTGATGCAGAAGTGTGTAGATGTATATGCAACTCTCATGCATTTTTCCTGTTTGAAGTCTAAAGTTGAGCATCCTCTACCTATTAGTGTTGTTCTGGGATGCAAGATAGGAGTAGTGGTTCATGAGGAGACAGACTGTTGTCTCCAAATCTACAGTAAGCCTTCATCACAAGGAATCTTATATACCAGTGATTTGTAGGACTTTAAATTCTGTGGTACTGCGGTAACAAGGAAATCCTTCTGGCCTATTGTCAAGGGAATGGCTCACTTCTGACCTGTTAAGAATGTATATGATACATAGAACTATAATGGTTTCTACTGAATTAAAAAAGTCACAGCCTTTCCAGGAGATTCATTTCAGCATCATTCTTTCTGCAAAGTTTGATGTAGATGAAGATAAAGTGGTTTCTTGGTCAATAACTGCAATTTCTTTCTTTTAAAGTCCGTGGGTTTCTTGTATCTGTAACCATAATAGAAAGATCACTGTTTAAAATATTGTAATTCCAAAATTACCTACTAGATAAGTGGAATATAAAAGAAAGTCTTACTAGTCACCAAACAATTAAAATGGATTCTCTATGCATACACTTACAGTTCTATCACAATTGGTCCAGGTTTAATTTCATCCATCTCCATGAAAGCAAAGCATTTGGTGCTGGTAAACCTCTTTTTGGGTTTGTAGTGTTTAAATTCAAAGAAGATTGCAGCACCTTAGGAATTTAAAAGGCAACACAAATGTCATAGGTCTAGAAATTTCTATTATGCCAGTATACACAACTTGTGTCAAATACTGAGTCTTCCTTGTACTAACTAGAACTTACTATGGTTGCTACTCATAAATGTCTCCATATCAACCAATCTACAAAGTTCAGCAAAATTCTTTTTGAGTTAGGCTAACTTCAAAGTATTTACATGTCACTTATGGAATCATAAACTCACAAAGAAATAAAATATTAAATACTACAAAAAGAATGAAGAATATTCTTGGTAAGTATTAATACTGTATATGAAACATTTCAAGATATTAAAAAATATACACAATGGAATACTTTGCAGCATGCAGGGACAATTTTGTAAATTATTACCTAACTTGGGAGAACATTATGCTTGTTGAACTCAGTTCCCCAAGGACAGACATTGTAGAAAACCATTATTATAGAATGAGTATGAGGATCCAAGGGGGAGGAGGAGCAGAGGGATGAAGAGTGCAAGAGGAGGGGAGGATTAATCATGGGGCTGCACAATTTGATGGGGGCGGGGTGAGGGAAATTGGAAGAATCTGGTCTGGAAAACAATGTATTAAAATGAATTTTATAAATAAACTAGTATAATAAATAAAAAATATTGTCTTTTCAACTATTAAAAATAAAATTTAAAAAAAGCCCTTGTGGCACAGTATATAAATCACATGGTTAACACCTGAAAGGTCAGCAGTTCAAATCGACTAGCTACTCAGCAGGAGAAACATGAGGCAGTCTGCTTCTGTAAGGATTTACAGTTCATGAAATAATTTGTTCTGTCCTATCATGTCACTGTGAGTCAGAATTTATTCAATGCCAGTGAATTTTTGTTTCATTTTTCTATTAAAAATTCAAACTTGAATCATTTTATCTGAAACAGAAACTTTTAATTATTTTGGAATTAATACAACAAAATCACATGTTGCCCTTCTTTTTAAATGATAACCTATTTCCAGATTTTTCTGGTGTTCAAAGTACTCACTGCTTCCAGGGATTGCCTGGGTGATGAAGACATCATTAAGAAGGCAGCCTTGATGGTACTGCTAATGGTATTGTTCGTTGTCTGAAGTCACTTAAATGCTCCAAGTGAAAAAGACTTGGCAACCTGCTCCCATAAAGATTACTGTTGCATGCTACAGATGATTCCAACTCTTGTCTAGAAAGAGAAACCCCCATTTTGTTGTTAAGTGTAATCAAGTTGGAATCAACTCACAGTTGATCCTCCAGTAGGTTTTCAGAGGCATTTAATCTCATGGGAGGATATGGCCCATTTTTCTCCTATGGAGCAGCTCGTACATTCAAACTACAGAACTTTGGGCTGGCAGCACAAATTCTTAACCATTAGGCTACCAGAGTTCCCTAGAAAACCCTATAGGATATAGTTCTACTCTGTCACCATCAGGATGGCAGAAGTTGAAATTTCTTTGAGGTCAAGCTGGAAAGGACAAGCCCAATTTTAAGCCCCATCTCACTCCTATGATGAAATGCCAACAAAATATGACAATTTTCTCTTCCTGAAGCTCAAGAATTGAGATTTGAAACCTGGGGTGATAGTGGACATAGAATAATGGTGATTGGTTTTATAAGACAAAATTATCATACCGTAATACCATACGAAACAATGTGTTTGAAGACTGTGTGAAATACAATGTATGTGAATGAGACACGTGTATACAAATTTTATATGCATACCAAGATAAAATTTTAAAAATATGGGGGCAGGGGAGAATTGAGATTTGAAACAAAGGGAAAAGTTGCCTCATGGCAACAGTTAAAAACAACTGTTTCTAAAGAAACCATGGAGGCAGAGAGAAACAAATCAGTTTTACTCTTAACAGGTTACCTCTTAATGCTGCCTTAATCAGAGCAGTGCTGTATCTTGGCTTTGAAAAACCAATCAACTCATACTTAGTAATTTAATCAATGGCAAAACTCACAAGGAACTAGAAGTCTAAGTGCTTAGAAAAGTACATCATAACACATTGACACTTGGGACCAAATGGAGTGTGCTGTGTTGGTTTATCAAAAGGACAAAGAAAAATTCAAAAAACAAGATGCAGGCGACAGAAGGGCATACTATCTGAACCATTCATCTCCCAACACCCAGAAGGCAGGACAGTTGTTAATCTACTGGGACCACACTTCCCTAGGTATGTGGCCCACTAATGTTCACCATAGGACAGATTTTTCATCTCCTTCCCACATTGATAGAGGGGCATAATCTTAGAGATCTGTAAAGTGGCAGATCACTTTTATTCAGGTAGGGGATCTATTGCCTCCTCCTTTTCTTCCATTGAAGATGTTACCATCATTTTGAGGAACTGATAAAGTTTTATTAACCATTGCATCATCAGTAATTAATGTTTCTGTCTCCCTGGTATGTATAGCTTTGCATTTGAGACTATCAATAAGAAAGAAGAAAATGTCAAGTGAGACTAGTCTAGGAAGATTAACTGAAATGCTTAGAAACAGACAAAGTATGCTTATTAGGAATAATACCAATTAAAACCATAATAGTTACAGCAACTATAAATAATAAATGTACAGAGAGAATGAATTAAGTCAAGATTTTAACAGAATTCTGTTTTTAAAAAAAAATGATAAGTCATCAAGACCACAACATAACAAAATGAAAAGTCAGTTCATGAACTATTTCCCTGCCACATCAGAAAGTTTTTCAAAGACATGGAGCTGAAGAGGCAGGAAAAATGTTTTTATTCACAAGGTATACTTCCTACTAAAAGGTCTTCAACAATATTGATTAAGATATCTATAAAACACAAGGAGCTCTGGTGGCCTAGGCCTGGGCTGTTTTGTTTCTAGCCAAAATGCTGTTCTTCTCTAGCAGTTGGAATCCACTAGCCACTCCATTAGGTAACGATAGGCAGTCTACTCTCTTTATGATTTGTAGTCTTAAAAACCAGATGGAAGTTCACTTTGAGCTGGAATCAACTTGAGAGGAGTAAGTTCTGATTCTAAGGAACACAGTGGTTCTCTGACTTTGGGCTGTATCAGAGCAATCTGGTGAGCTTGTTAATAGAATGCTGAGCCCCAAGCTTAATGACTCCAATTCAAAAGGCAAAATAAAAATCAGTAACAAAACAAAAACTTCATGGCAACCTTCTATCTTGTTTCTGAAGCTGTAAATCTTTATCAGAGGAGACTGTTTCATCATTCTGTTGCACAGGAGAATAAGGTTGACCAAAGAATTGATGTCTTTGAATTATGGGTGGCAAAGAATACCAACTGTACCACAGGGGACCAAAAGAATGAACAAATCTATCTTAGAAGAGGAGCAACTAAAGTACTTCTTTGAGACAAGAATGGTGATACTTTATCTCATCTATATTAAGCATGTTGTCAGGAGCAGCTAAGCTATCATTCTTGGAACAGTAGAGGGCCAGCAAAAGAGAGAAAGACCCTCTTTTAGATGGACTGACACAGTAATGGAAACAGCAGGTTTAAGCACAGTAGTGAATCAGAGAAGGGAGCAGGATCAGGGCAGAGTTTCATTCTGTTGTACAGTGGGTTTCTAAGTTGGAGCCAAACAGATAGCAGTTCAGAACATCAGCAAACTAACTGTAAGTTATGGTACCTTTCTAAGCAATAAAATACAGCAAGAAGATAGACTGGCTCTCCACTATTACCCTAAAACCAAAGCCACTATCTTTGAGTCAACTCCGACACATTGTGACCCTGCACAAGGTTTCCAATGCTGGGCGTGTTATGGTAAGAGACTGGCCATCTTTATTTTGCAGAGCAGCTGGTGGATTCACACTGCTGACCTTTTGGTTGGCAGCCCAGCAAGTGAGGCACTATACCACAAAACATAATTATTAGGAAACCTGAGGGAGCTCCTGCTTTCATGACCTTTTTAATGTAAAGTAAATGGTCATTCTATTTTGTTGTGAAAGTCAGTATTAATTTCACATTTCCCCCCCACACACACATTTTATTATTTAAAGGGAGGCTCTGGTGTGGCTTAGTAGTAAGGAGTTGCATGGTCAACCTGAAGCTTGTGGTTCAAATCACCAGCTGCTCTGCAGAAGAAAGAGAATCTCTTCCTGTGTGATGTACAGTCTCTGAAAATCCACAACAACAATAACATTATTTAAATGTAATATTTATTATGTTTTTGTTGTTATTATTTTCAGAGCAGTTGATTAAGATTCATGGTAACTCTGGGTGTGGGTAGCTGCTGTTGTTGCTGAGTACCCATTGAGTCAGAAACAACTCGTAGCTGACCCTCCAAGCAGGTTTTCAGAGGCTGTAAATTACATAGGAGGATACCACCTATCTTTCTTCCACAGAGTAGTTGGTGGATTTGAACTGTACTTTTGGGTTGGTGGTGCAAATTCCTTACCTCTAAGCCATGAGTGCTCCCAAATAGGAACTGAGCAATAGAATTTTCAAGGTTATAAGCTTTGGGAAGCAGGTTCCCATAGCTAACCTCTGAGGCACAGCTGGAGAGGTTGGAAGAGACAACTTTGGTACTAAGAGTCAAGTGCTTATCTGTTTATGCCATTCACGGACTAGTGACATTTATTATAAAGCTAGATAAATTCATCACTTCCACATAAAAAATATATTTCATTCATTTTTCACTCAAATCCATAAATACTATGTGACTTTTACTTCGGCCAGATACCCACTATACTAGGTCCCCTAGGCACATGGAGAAGACGAAGGCTCTGGCCACAAAAAACCAAGTGTGTTAGTTACAAACCTTTGGTTAATTTTTCCACATGTTTCTGCAGCTCAATATTCACATTAAAATGAACATAGGTATCTTCTTTTCTCGATGCCACAGGTGTATCTTGTATAGGAGTTAAATCTATGCCATTCAAATCTGGAGAAAAAAACAAGTTTCTCTTTGGTAGTAATTAAATATATATTCTCAGAATTTTGAAAATGTAAAATCATGCAAAGGGTTGTTTCCTAAAGAGGTCTGAAGAAGTCCAAGAGGATATTTTTCGTCTAGAAGAAATTATTATTTAGTGTTAGCAGGTGCCTGAAGAGCTAGTTTCCACAGAATTATGTGGAAGGAACTCAAGGACTTGAGTCTTGCATTAACTAAGTAGAAATGAAAACGTGTGGGGGAAAAATGTTATCTTTATGGTTAAGAAATGAAAAGAACTTTTTGATTTCTTTAGTGAGTAGGCTAAGGAATCTTAGTGGTGTAGGGGAAAGTGTGGTTTTCTCCACAAGGAAAACATGGGGGAGAGAGATGGCTTCTGTAAAAATAATAGCTTTGGAACAGTTTTCATCTTTGTTCTATAGATATCATTATTTATTGTGATAAATTACATACAACAAAATATTTTAATTGTGTTCAATACAATAAAAGTTTAGAATATGTTGATATACCATACTTGGCTCTAATTAAAAAGGTGTTAATCTACCATTATTACAATTCCTCTCCTGTCCCTAAGTTAGAGGACAATAAAACTCTTCTATCAGTAATTTCACACACATACATTCTCCTCAAAAAACAAGTCAGCACATTTGATTATTTCCTAAAGATTTTTATCTAAAACATGCTACAGTTTAATATGTGTGCAAAGGTAACACAACATAATATCTGCCAGTGTTGCTGCTGAGTGTCAATTCTGACTTACAACTCTATGATACTGTTTAGTAGAACTACCTCATATCCCTTCCTACAATGTAATTTTTATGCTTCAACAGAAAAGAAGAAACAAAGTCTTTACAAGCAGTCCAAAAAGAAACATCAGGAAAAGTGGAGAAAATAGTAAACTGAAAGACTCATTTTGCTTAATCAATGTCCATGGCAGCAGCAGTCAAGAAATCAAACAGCCTATTACATTGAGAAAATCTGCTATAAAAAGAATTTTAAAGTATTTCAAAGCGAAGAAGATGTTATATTGAAAACTAAGATGGTCATGAAAACATGACCCAGTCCATGGTATTTTCAATTTTCTCTTAAGCAAATGGAAGCAGGAAAATGAATAAGGAAGAAGGAAAAAGGAATCGTGTCTTTTGATTATGGTATTCTTAAAGAATATGGAACACACCAAGAACTGACAAGAGCATAAACAAGTATGCATTAGAAGAAGTCTGCCCAGTAGGGCCCTAAAAGTCAGATGGTGAGATACTATGTCACCTTACTTGCTATGTTACCAGGAGGGATAAGTTCCTACAGAAGGGCACCATGCTTGGTATAGTAGAGGGCCAGCAGAAAAAAAAGAAGATACTCAATGAGATGGTTTGGGATAGTGGCTGCAACAAATGACTCAGATACAGCAACAACTTGGAAGGAATATTCAGAATTAAGCAAAGTCTTGTCCTGTTGGACATAGGGTACCTTAGAGTTAGAACTGGTTTAACCCCACTTAATAATGATCTTATGGAAATGGATCATCTCTAGTGCTTTTCTCAGAGCATCATCAATGGGGTCAAAGTGCTGAACATGGGTAGACTCTGAGTAGATACAAGATTCTTTTTATCTATTTTATTATTGTTGAAAAGGCTTTGTGTGTTACAGTGTGTATTCCTCAAGGAATTCTTTTTTCTTTTACTTTAAGGCAAAGTTGTCTTTGATACTAATGAACCCATATATCTAAATTTATTTCTATGATTGATTGAAGTGCTTGTCCTGTTTTTAGTCTATATATCTTTCTTTGGCCACAATTTACCGATTAAAGTAAACAATTGGGACTAATTACGCAGTTCCTACTGGAAAACTATATACCATCATCTTCAATCACTACGAGACTTTTAAAAGAACTGTTTAATGCCTTACAAATCAAGGTCCATAGAGAATGCTTGATAAAAAGAGAATAAGTGAAACACTGTAATTTTCTTTTCAAGGCAAAGATAAGAAAAGCTATCTGCAATGAATAACTGAATTGACATACTGTACAGGAGAAAATTCCATGCTCCTGGCTGAAAGTAAGCAATACCAGAAGAATGTGTATTTGTGCTTTATTGACTATGAAAAGGCATCCGACTGTCAATGTGATTGATCATAACAAATTGTGGCTGACATTGAGAAGAATAGGAGCCCTGGAGCAATTCATGCGGTCAAGTGAAATCTATACCTCAACCAGGAGGCTGTAGTATAAACAGAGCAGGGGAACACTGCATGGTTTAAAACTGAGAGAGAAATGTGTCAGGGTTGCATTCTCTCTACATATTTATTCAATCTGTATGCTGAGTAAATTATTTGAAATGTTGGACTCTATGAAGAAGAATGTGACATCAGGATTTGAGGGAGACTCATCAATAACCTGCATTATGCAGATGACACAACCTTTCTTGCTGAAGGTGAGGACTTGAAGCGCTTGTTGCAGAGAATCAAGGAATGCAGACTTCGGTATAGATTGCATATTAATGTCAAGAAACATAGATTCTTACCACTAGAATGATAGCCAACATTATGAAGGATGGGGAAACTGTCAACAGCTTTATCTTGCTTGGATCCACAATTAACACCAGCATTCAGGAAATAAGGAGATGCACTGCACTGGGAAAATCTACAGTTAGGTATGTCTACAAATTACTGAGGTGTAAAGATGTTAGTTTGAAGACTAAGGTGCATCTGATTTCAGGCCATAATCTTTCTAAAGATCACTTGCTATACATCTGAGAGTTGGATACTGAATAAAGATGACAGAAAAATAATTTACGCCTTCAAGCTGTGGTGTTGGAAAAGAGCACTGAACACCCCATGGACGGCCAAAAGAATAAACAGGTATGTCTTGAAGAGGGGACAGCCAGAGTGCTTTTTGGAGGCAAGAATGATGAGGTTTTGCCTCACATACTTTGGGCATGTTGCAAGGAGGGACATGATGCTACAAAGGGTGAAGGGTTGATGAAAGAGAGGAAGACCTTCAGTGAGGTGGACTGATGCAGTGACTGCCACAATGGGCTCTTATATGTCAGGAAATGTGAGGATGATGGTGCAGGAGAGAACAGGGTTCAGATCTTTTGTCCATAGGGTCGTTATGAATCATACTCAACTCAATGACACCTAACAGCAACAACAATAGGAGAAAAGTAAAATACTAACATTAATTCTGTTTAAGTGGCATTCACTTCTTACATAGCATGCCTCTGGAAATTCTAGGAACTCTGATAAGTGACTGCAGTTATAGAAAGGCTTCAGGCACTTTGTTCATAGGGTCATTATAAGTTGTGCTCAACTAGACAGTTATCAATAACAACAACAACAACAACAACAATCATAATAATACATTTAATGATAAGAAATACTTAATTTACACTGCATTAAGCCATGGCTTTGATGTGTCCTATTTTCTTTTCTCTCCTGACAACCTCCTGGCAGATTTCTATGACCTCTAAAATATTACCCAATATGTGCTGATTGTGGGACAGACCATTAATTACTCATAAGCAAATTAAAATTCAAGTTAAAGAAGGTCAAATCAAATCCACAGGAATAAAAATCTGATCTTGAGTCTATCCCACCTGAATTTAAAAACTGAATTAGGAACAGGTTTAAGGCCCTGAACACTAAAGAACCAGATGAATTATGGAAGGATATCAAGAATATCATCCAAGAAGAATGCAAAAGATCATTACAAAGAAGAAGAAAATACCAAAATGGATGTCAGAAGAGACTGTGAATATTGCAATAAAGCACGGAGAAGCCAAAGCAAGGGAAGAAATTAAGAAGTTAAGGAGCTGAATAGAGGATTTCAAAAGGCAGCTTGGGAAGACAAAGCAGAGTATTATAATGAAATGTGCAAGGAACTGGAGTAAAAGAATCAAAAGGTTGAACTCACTCAGAATTTCTAAAGCTGAAGGAACTAAAGAACAAATTTAAGCCTCGAGTGGCCAATATCTAAGAATGCTATGGGCAGAATACTGAGAAATCCAGAAAGCATTAAGAGAAGATGAAAGGACAGAGTCACTGTACAAAAAAGGAATTGGTTGACACAGAAGAATTTCAAGAATCAATGTATGATCAAGGGGCAATGGTGATGAAAAAGAAAGTGCAGGCTGCTCTGAAGAACTTGGCAAAAAATAAGGCCCCAGGAATTGATGGAATACAAATTGACATATTTCTACAAACAGATGCTGCCCTGGACATGCTTACCAGGTTTTGCCAAGAACACTGTAGGTCAACTACCTGGCCAACTGATTGGAAGAATTCCACACTTATTACCCATTTCAAAAGAAGGTGACCTGACAGAGTATGAAAATTATCAAACAAATATCACTATTATCACATGCTAGCAAAATCTTGCTGAAGATCCCAAAACAGCTGGAACAGTACATCAATAGAGAACTGCCAGAATTACAAGCTGGGTTTAGAAGAGGTCATGGCACTAGAGACATTATTGCCAATGTCAGATGGATTATGACAGAAAGCAAAAAGTACTAGAGGAACATCTGTCTGTGTTTCATTGACTATGCAAAAGCATTTAACTGTGTGGATCACAACAAATTCTGGCTAACGTTGAAGAGAATGGGAATCTCAGAAGTGAAATCTACACTTGAACCAAGAAATAGTCCTCAGAACAAAGCAAGGAAACATGGCATGGTTCAAAATTAGGAAAGGAGTGCACTAGGGATATGTCTTGTCTCCACATCTTTTCAATCTATATGCAGAACAGAGCATTTGGGAGGCTGAATTTTATGAGGAGGAATGAGGCATCAAGATTGGAGGAAGACTCAACATCCTAAGTTTTGCAGATGACACAACCTTGCTTGCTGAAAGTGAGGAGGACCTGAAGCATTTGCTGTAGAAGGTCAAGGACTGTAGTCTTCAATATGGATTAAAGCTCCACAGCAAGAAAATGTTTCTTACCACTGGGCCAACTGGCAGCACCATCATAGATGGACAAGGAAATGAAGTTGTTTACAATTATAGCTTGCTTGGCTCCACAATCAACTATTGGCACCAGTAGTCAAAAGATGAATTTGCACTGGGAAAATTTTCAGGGACCTCTCCAGAGTACTGAGAACCAATGATGTCAGTCTGGATACTAAGGTGTGCCTGATTCAGGCCATGGTTTTGCAATTACTTCCTATGCATCAGAGTGCTGGACAATGACTAAAGATGACAGAAGTAGAATCAATGCTTTCAGTTGTGGTGGTGGTGAAGAGTCTTCAATATACTATAGATCACCAAGAAAGTAAGTCTGTTTTGGAGAGGTTGAAACCAAACTTCTCCTTAGAGGCTAGGATTCTGAAGCCCTGTCTCAGGTTCTCTGGGCACATGGCCAGGTTGGACAAATCCTTGGAGAGTGATATCATGTTCAGAAGAGTGGAGGGATAGCACAGGAGAGGAAGACCCTGAATGAGATGGATTGATACAGTAACTGAGGCAATGGGGGTAGGTGTGTCAGAGTCAGGGAAACCAGCTCAGGACAGGGCAGGCTTCAGAGCTGCAGTACATAGGGTCACTGTTAATTGCAGATGACTCAAGAACACATAACAACAATAACAATATATGACTACGAAGGAGAGGGTCTAATGTAGTGGTTTGAAGAAAGTGGGAGAATACCAGGTTTGTAAAGAAAATCACACAATTGTGGAAAGTAAAGGATATTTTGATAACCAGTTTCCTGAAGGAAGTAGCTTCTCCTGCTAATGTTGGCACTTCTAATTAGCAAATAAGAGCATAAGTTATGTACAGGAAAACTCTTGCCTTAAATCTCTGAAATGTATTCTGTATCTGACACTTAGCTGACCCTCTGGTGGGTTTACAGAGGCAGTTAATTGCAAGGCAAGAGACTGCTCATCCTTCTCCTATGGAGTGGTTGGTGGCGTTGAACCACATGCCTTTGGGATTGCAGTGCAACTTCTTGCCATTAGGCCACCAGAGCTTATTTACCACTGTAGTTGTTATTGTTATGTGCTGTCAAGTTGTCTAGGACTCATAGTGACCCTATGAAAACCAAGACTGGAACCTTGTCCTATCCTGTGCCATCTTCCCAATGTCCACCATGCTAAACTCCAGTAATTATTACAGTCACCATGTCAATCCTGGGCTGGAATCCTCTTATTTAAAGTGATTAAGACCCAGGGGATGGGCCTTTGGGATTAAAAGTTGGCTGAGGCCTGCCTGAAAGCCTTTTGTTGAAACAGATTCTGAACTGTTTTAATTTCATAAAAAAATCAGGTGTAAATTGCTTGGTTACTTTGATTTAATTAACAATTAGTTGTTAAGTAAATGAAAATCAATATATTGCCCATTGCAATGACACAGAAAGAATCAAAAGAAGATGAAGGGAATATACAGAATCATAGGAAGTTCCATATGAGCAGGAGCCAATGGTAATGAAGGAGGAAGTGGAAGCTGCATTGAAGGCACTGGCAAACTATATAGCACCCTAGGAATCCACGGAATACCAATTAACCTTATTAACAGATACAGCCAGGGATGCTCTCACAAGACTATACCAGGAAATTTGGAGGACAGATGACTGGCTAACAGATTCAAAGACGTCCATACTTGTTCCATTCCCAAGAAAAGGTGATCCTACAGAATGTGGAAACTATCAAACAATATTTTTAATATTACTTGTAAGCAAAATACTGCTAAAGATCATTAAAAAAATGGCTAGGACAGTACATAGATAGGGAACTGCCAGAAGTTCAAGAAGGATTTAGAAGAGGCCATGGCACCAGGGATATCATTGTTGATGTCAGATGGATTCAGGTTGAAAGTGAAGAATACCAGAAGAATGTCTATTTTCCTTTATTGACTATGCAAAGGCACTTAACTGTGTGGATCATAACAAGTTATGGCTAACACTGAGAAGAATGGGAATCCCAGAGCACTTAATTGTGCTTATTTGAAACCTATACCTAGATGAGGCTGTTATGCAAACAGAGCAAGGGAACTCTACATGGTTTAAAATTGAGAAGGGTTGTATTTTCTCTCCACATCTATTCAATCTGTATGCTGCACAAATTATTTTAAATTCTGGACCTTAGGAAGAGGAATGTGGCATCACGATTGGAGGGAGACTCATCAATAACCTGCATTACTCAGGTAACACAACCTTGCTTGCTTAAAGTGAGGAAGACTTGAAATACTTGTTCAAAGAATCAAGGAATACAGCCTTCAATAAGTATTGTACTTCATTGTCAAGAAGACAAAGATTCTTACCACTGGACTGAAAAGCAACATCATGATAAACGGAGGAAAGATTGAAACTGTTAATAACTTCATCTTACCTGGATCTACAAGTAACAACTTTGGTACTAGCAGTCAGGAAATCAGAAGACATATTGCACTGGGAAAGTCTTCATTTAGAGAACTCTCCAAATTATTGAGGAGTAAATGTCAGTTTGAGTACTACAGTGTGTCTGATTCAGGCTATGGTCTTTCAGAACACTTGATATGAATCTGAGAGTAAGACAATGAATAAGGATGACAGAAGAACTGAAACCTTTGAGCTGTGGTGCTAGAGAAGAGTGCTGAACATCCACGGATGGCCAAAATAACAAATAGGTCTTGGAAAGGATGCAGCCAGAGTACTCTTTAGAGGCAAAGATGACAAAGCTTTGACTCACATACTTTAGACATGTTGTTAGAAGGGCCTATTGCCTAGAAAGGGACCTGATGCTAGAAGAGAGGAAGACCTTCAACCAGGTGGATTGACATGGTGACTGCTGCAAGTGGCTCTAATATATCAGGATGCGTAAGAATGGCACAAGTAAGGCAAGGTTCATGTCTGTTGTTCATAGGATTGCTATGGGTCATATTCAACTTAACGTCACCTAAGAACAGCAGCATATCAATCCATCTGGCTGGAGGTACAATGCATGTTATGATCTGTTACCAATAGGATTTACAATCCAAACAAAACAAAACAACATAAAAACCCAAAGAAAAAAAATTCTAAATGAGAAGCAACATTACCAAATTCACCAGAGAAATAAAATGTAGATAGAGTTCTTTACCCTTTACACTCATTGTAATATAGGGATCAATGCACTGCCCAGCATCTTTCAGACCAATTTTGTCAATTCTGATTGTGAGTAACGTCATTCCTGGTTCAGATGGCAACCGTGGTAACAAAGTACCTGCCAACAGAGAAACACCAGTAAGAATCAGTACCATAAATAATCCCAAAGTAAATATTTTAACAACCATAGGGAAGATGCAGCATTGTTCTCAGCTGACTAAATAAATTAAACACGCACTGCCCTCAGTTGATATCGATAGGGCAGTTCTCCATAGGATTTCTGAGGCTCCCAACCATTATGAGAGGAGACAACTCACTTGTCTTTTGCAACACAGCTGATGGTTTGGGTTGTTGACCTTTGGGCTTGCGGTCCTACTATACATCAGTCTGATTTCCAAAGAACAAAATATTTCATAGTATCTCTTCTGGCAAGTGTTTGATTACATACAAGACAAATCTGGTCTTTAATACTTTATACTCAGCACTAAAGCAGAAGTTATCAGTTTACGCTTAGTAAAAACTCAACTCTAGGAAACCCCGTTATTAAATTGCAATATAGTAATATATTTAACAGTTATAATTTTAACATGAGGCACCAGAACAAAGGAAAAAAGTCCTGAGAAACTTAATTCCAGACTCTACCAGCAAATCTTTTAATTACTACTGATGGAAGAAATAATTTATAATAAATTAATCTTTTCCTCATTTATAATCTTGGAAAAAAGTACTATGGAAATTGCTACATATAGCCACAAAAGTACAAATATGTTTGAAATTTTTATATATATTACTCTTTTAAAAACTGGAAGGTCTCCCAGGAAGTCTCCACTTCCCATACATACACTCTTTACAGAGAGAAAGACACAAGTAAACAGTTGAGTTATTCCATTTCAGTTCATTAAGAACACAGTACCTCGAACTACAGAACTTAATATTTATAAGGAATAATGGTAGACAGTCTTTAAATTCTACTCAACTTACTTGTAATGATAAAGAACTTATGGTAAAGGAATCAGTTAATTTAAAAAAAGAAGAGGTTTTTATAAAACAAAATTGTTGCACTTATACACTTAGAATGGATAAATTTTATGATATGAAAATTTTATTTCAAAAACGTATAAAAAGAGTAGTAGTAATAATATTACAATTTTACTTTTCAATGTTACCAAATTAGAGGACAATGGAAATACAGACATTAGAGGCATGATACTACCGTGGCGGCTAAACAACTGTCATCTAGTCACTTCTGACTCATGTTGTTGTTACATGCTGCTAAACAAACCTATGAATAAAAAATTGGAACCCTGTCCTATCCTGAACCATCCTTAAGATTTCCGACATGCCTCAGCTTGTTGTTACAGAGACCCTCTATTCAGGTTTCTGAGGTTGCAAATCTTTCCTGGTGGAGACTGTTCATCATTCTCCACAGAGAAACTGAAGATCTGAGCCACTGAAGAGCAGCTAAGGTATGTTATACACTAGGGCACCAGAACTCCTTAGTGGGCCATTATTGTTGTTGCTAGGGAAGATTATTCTACATAAAAATAGCAGCTTTTTACAATGCCTTCCTTTGTATGGCCTTTACCTATTGACATTCTGAATCCAGGATTCTTATAGAACGAATGTCAGGAAATTAAGCAACTGTGAACTTTTACTAAAAATTTGGGTGTATGTATTTATAAAATTTTTCTGGAAGATGATTTATATTCCTATCAGATCCACACAATCTACTCTCAAAGACTCTCTGATCTAAAAATGTCTTTGGAAAATTTGCATTATTTAGGGTAGAAAGTAGGGAATTCTGGTGCCTACTGGAGAAGGACATCATGCTTGGGAGGGTGGAGGGACAGCGCAGGAGGGGAAGGCCCTCTATGAGGTGGATTGATTCAGTGACTGGGATAATCAGGATGGGAATGTCAGAGACAGTGCGATTGGCACAGGACAGAGCAGAGTTTAGGGCTGTTATACACAGGGTCGCTATGAGTCGCAAGCGACTCGACGGCACATAACAACAACAACAACAACAACAACAACTGGCAAGAAGCACCACTACAATACTGAAGGCATACAATATGAATCGACCAGCGGCTCCACAGAAGAATGATGGGCAATCTTCTCCCTTGAGATTAACTGCCTCTGAAAACACGCTGGAGAGTCAGCTGGAGAGACTGGTTCCAACCCAACAGCAAACAACAGTAACACAGTAACGGCATAAAAGAAAAGTTTTTTGCTTTGTTTTGTTCATGTGGAAAATCTGGTTCTGAGAATTGCTGGAAACAAAGACTGAACTCAGTTTTTAAACAGAGGAAGATAACTGAGTTTCAATTTTCTATTCTCTCTTTTCCATTTTCATAGAAATCTGAGTCTCAACTGGCAATACTGAAGGAAAGAAAATTTTTGCTGGACAAAGTGTTGGCAGTATGAAAAACACATCAAAATGAGAAACTCAAATAGTTCATTCCTGTGTCCTTCTGTAATATCCCCAACATTTGTCAACACTTCTCTCAAGAGCAACAAAACAGGAAGTGTTTCCCATCAGCCTTCTCTCTGCTTGGCCTTGTATCAGCTACTTTGCAAGAAATATGGTTCCACTTTGAGGGAAAGAGTATGCAGAAACTAGAATCTGAGTATTAGATATGCTTCTTGTTACTGGAATGTCATTGCTATTACTCTTGTTCAGTGGAAAAATCTAGGGAAGAGATTTACCTACCTATATAAATGGTTAAATGGAATTTCTTTTTTCAATCCCTATTATTGATATCTCATATTCTAATCTTATTCTAATTCTCTACTCAAGAGAATCTGCCCTATCTTTACTTCATAGTTCCATCTCTCTTCTGCCACACTGAAGATCTTTCTTTTCAGTTGCTTAGCATACTTATTTGCTCAATCCTGCAAAAAAGTACAACATAGTTCCAAACTTACACATCAATATAATTATAAACCACGTACTTACTAAAGAAAATTCAAAATATCTTTTGGCTAATTTTCTAATGTATTTGTAGTCATTTAACAATTTACATTTTCAACATATATTAAGGATTTTCCTAGGGAGCTATGATAGCTTAGTGGTAAGAGTTGTACTGACAACGCAAGGGGAAGAGATTTTATTTTACCAGCTGCTTCACAGGAAAAAGATAGGCAGTTTCCTTCCACGTGATTTATAGCCTCTAAAAAACCTGACTGAACAGTTGGCTATGAGTCTGTTCCAACTTGATGGTACACAACACAACAATAAAAAGACTTACATATGTCTTTATACTTTTGTTATGACTTCTTTAAAAAAATGTTTAAAAGGTGATTATCTAGTTTTTAAAAGTTAATGACCTAGGGAAACTGGATCTTAAAAAAAAATAAAGCTATTTCATACAAAATGTTAATTAAAAATGGATCAATAATCCAAAAAGAAAAAAAAGGTTAACCCATAAAACTCTTTGGAAAAAAATTACAGGGGCAAGTCTTTATGACCTTAGATGGCAATGAATTCATTTTTTATTATTATTAATTTTAATGAAAATTTACAAACTTTGGATTTCCATTCATTCATTGATGCACTCTTCTCCCAGCCCTCCCTCCCCCCAATAAACTCTTCTCTTTGAAAAGTAAAAGAAAAATTCTATCATTGTTTTATAGTCGCTCCCACCAGCTCTACTCCACATGCAGCCTTCATTCTGGACTTCTGTCATGACAATAATAGCTAATCACATATCCCTTTTAAACAGTTTCCTCCCTCATCTGTTTCAATGTAGTATAGTTTATTGAAACCATCTTTCTCAGTCTCCCCTCACCCAACAAACAGGATGTCAGTCTTGTTTTTCAACAGTGGCACTATTCAGTATTTGTCCTTTTGTGACTGAGTTATTTTACTCAGCATAATGTCCTCCAGGGTCACCCATTTTGAATAATATTTCATGAGTTCCTTGTTTTTCAATGCAGCATAGTATTCCATTGTGTGAATATACCACAGCTTCTCTATCCATTCGTTTGTTGATGG